GCCGTTTTAGGTAGGTGTGGCTGACTCTTAACTTTTATAAAGAATATCTTTTTGGATTTGAGACTTTAGTCTTTGCAAATTTACAGATCTTCTTTATGCACCAAGAGCTTGTAACACTCCAAAGAGAAAGGAAAAATTGAAATCGCATCATATGACCCCTTTAACAATTATAAAAACTATTATTATTATTGTCACAATTTATTTTTTAAATAAATGAAGTTCTATAGCCTAACATTAGCTATACAATCTATATTATTATTATTAATAATAATAATGGGATTTTATAAATTATATAAACTTATATAGCATTATATATAGAGAGAGTGAGAGAGATAACGTGAAATATTTTTATTTTTATATTTATTATTCTAACTATTATTATCCTATTTTATCAGAATATATTTAATCAATTATTATTATTATTAATATATAATTATTAATAATATATAACATCTATAAAATTATATAATTATATTAAAATGATAACGTTATATCAAAAAAAGATAATAATTATATAATGATATATTTATTATTATTCTGTAGACCACAAATATTTTGATTTCTCTGAAACCTACCGACTCTAAAAGCGATTTATTGTACCTCAGACAGCATTACCTGTAATAAAGCCAAGGCTTTTAATCTGTATGGGTTATGGAGCCGCAGCTGGTTTAACCTTTATCTCTTGCATCTAAATCAAAATGCTTTTATATATTCTCGTTAAGCGTAATAAATGCAGCGGAGAATCAGAGTGTTGGTGTCTAACAGCTTCAGTCGTGCAGATTCACTCATGTTTGTGTGAACATCATAACTCCACCTGGAGCAGACATCGCATTTACATCTAAATTAATGCCAAATGTATGTACAGTACACATTCTGCAGTTAAAATATTATTTGTGATGCGTGTCCCCTTTTGCTTTGGCAAAGAAGGTGTGTTATGATATCAAGTGTTGTTGACAAATCATCAACTTTCTATATTTTATTGTTTGAAATTACATGGCTGGTTGCTTTGAATCTTTAAATTTATGTAAAATATTTATGCCTAAGTGTAGGATTTATGTATTTGAATTGCATATAAAATGTTCATATGTTTGGATTTCACAGTTTTAACATAAACGAAGATATCTGTCAGTCATGCATAAATGAAACGATAAGATTTCAGTACTAATAAACTGAAGAAAAAAACCCATCATAGCATAGGTTAACTATTTGCAACTCTTTGGTTTTATTTAAATATTCATAATTTTCAAAATGCATTTATTCAGATTGCTTAGAATCAGCATCACATTTTATGTTTATTAGTTTGTTCAAAATAATTGATGGACATTTTATATGCAATGCAAATTCTTACATTTAGGCCTAAATATTTTTCTTTGAGTGTAACAATCCTATTTTATTAACTTTGCAAGCTATATATATATATATATATATATTTATATTTATATTTATATTTAT